GTGAAAGGGTGAATATGGCACGTAGTGTAAAAGCGCTTTGAGTGGTCGGAAGACTAGAAAGGTACTATACAAGTACAGGTCCATTTACCATAAGTATGTTAGAGATAGCTGCAGGTAACATGATATGGTGGACATATATGCCAACATTTTTTAAAAAGTGTGAATATTCTATCCCTTCTTTCCCTTACAACCCACTCAAGAACTCCAGTTTGAAAACCACTGGTTTAGGCTACAGTACGTGTTGTTACTGGCCCCCCCTTTAAGGAAGGTGGCCTTGTGGACAACCTGTGTGGGGTAGTCTTGCGGTTTTGTCATGTCATGCAAAGGATGTCTCTCCCAGTGTTTGAAGACCAGCAAGCAGCCGCAGCCACAGTGAAGAGCACACTGTGTGAGGTATTAAGTGTGTACATAAGCTCAGGTTGCAGCAGAATAGTTACTGAAAGTTATTCTAGCTATTCTTCTATACTGAGGACTTTAAATGCAGGGCTTTTACTTGTAATGGATTATCTCTGTACGGTCATTGCTACTTTTAAAGTATCTGCTTTCACCACTGCTGATGACTGTTTTATCTACAGAATGTGGGTCACTAGCAACATTGTGAGCAGATCATTGACCTGTATTCCCCTTCCTTTCTATCAGAGGAAATGATTTTGAGATCTCCTGTCAGTCAGTGGATCCTGTTGAAGGATTTGATGTTCCCATATTTACAAAAGTTGCAAGATTAAAGCTAGGTAACTTTTGTCATATTCACTGAAACTCTCACTATATCCTGACAGCAGCACATGAGACAGATAATCTGAGAAAACATTCTGGTTCCTCTGGCTCCTCTTAGTGCTCCTAACGGCATTGGATGAAAGAATCCACCGGGCTGAATGAAAACAACCAACCAGAGCAGAGAAAGATGTAAGAGGCTTTGGGCTGGTGGCTTGAAGATAGTTAGTCATTCCCAGAGTCTGCATTTGACAACCTGGGATCCTTGTAAATACCTTTCTGAACACTAGGAGGAGCCACATGAACCTGATTTTGGTACTACTGTCAGGATATAGTGAAAGTTTCAGCAAATATAACAAGTTATTTTTAGAAAACTACTGCAGATTTAATCTTCCAACTTTTTGAAATATGGGAACATCAAATCCAGCGGACAGTTCAAACTCATATTAATCTAAACAATAATCTGTTTATGTTGTACATAAAAAGCCTTCTGCAAAGCAGACAAAATAAGCACATAAGCAACGTAGTTGTTTAAAATTTAATCCTGTAACATACTCCTTAAGACATAAGTTGTACAATACAATTTAAATGTATTCAATGTGTAAGAGTCAGTTGGTTTCTGTCTGGGATGTGGAGTGGAATTGAATTGTTAGGGAGGTAGAAGAGTGAAGGTAAAACTTGTTCCATATTCTGCAGCAGAATATAATGAGGATGGTCCCAGGTTGTCACTGGAGACAGACAGCTGGATGCACCAGGTATGACACTGTAAAAATGTCCACTTTATTCTTTTTTCTTGTAGTCCTCCAAGTGGGCCAGGATCCACCCGGATGGCCCCAGGATGGCCAGGGAGAACATGCCCAGTCCAATGGCAGTTTCCTGAGCAGAGACAGAGAGGATTCAGTCAGCCAATCAGCATCTATCAAACGCTGCATGCACCCTCAAGTCAATGCTCCTATTTGGACTTTTATGGGAGTCCTTTTCTAACTGTCCCACGCAGAGTTTACTCAGGCAGCCCGCTCAAAACATTCATCATTCACATTCAGCCATGTTTGCAGTCCCATCGGTCTTATGTCACAGTAGAGTAGCTACACCTTTGGCCACATTATGATCTAGTAACATACACATTATTGGATACAGAGTGGAAACAGAGGACTGTACCTACAGCTGAGCTAGAGCTGTCCACATACTGCTGTTCTTTACAGTCAATGTATATATACCCCGGGGATATCAGGGGATGGGCAACTCCGGTCAGTTAACTTCATATGACAACATATAAGCTGAGGGGATTGATGAAATATGTATGTGAAGCAAGCATTTCGCTACGGTTTACTGGAACTGCTTCAATCTGCTGCTCCTCTTCCTCCCATACACACACCTGTCTGTTGACTTTCAGTACGTTTTAGAAAGTGGCCCAAAAAACATCTGCATGGGATTTTTCACCCATGACGCGTGTGTGGAGGAGGCTTGTTGTTAATGACGTAGGCATACCAAATAATCCAAACCAATGTGGTACCGAATGCTCTACCTGCTTGTAAAATAATCACTGTCTCTGAACTTACTTTGTCAGACACATCATCCATGTTCTGTACAAGCACATTACTGATATGGTTTTACTAATTCAAACAGTATACTAAGCCTTTACGACATGTTTTGACATGCTTCCCTGTTCTACCCTTCTGAATGTGGGGTTCATTCTTCAGACAAAGATAAACACGCTCTGGGTTGGATGCTGGAAACTAGCTGATCCCAAAATGTCTGTATTTCAGAATCCGACTCTACAGTCTCTCAGCTCTGACTGGTTGTGCTCAGGCCTGGTGGATTTTAAAGTACCTTTCCAGTAGGAGTACTAACAGTTAGGAGCCAGAGGAAGCTGATCGTTTCACAGATGATCTGTCTCATGTTCTACCGTCAGAATAGAGTCCAAGTTTCAGTGGATATGACAAAATGGATAAACAAAGTAATATAAAGATTTACTGACTTGGAGTTTTCCTTCATGTACTTTAACTGTCCCTGAAAATGGCTCTATTACAGCGACATTACTATTATTAGTAGTAGTGTATTAGTATAAACACCATTAACCGGACAGAGGGCGGAGAGATATTATTGCTAACGTTGGCTAACTCAATGGGTTAGCTTTGGCCTGACTTGATGATGGCGGAACTATTATTCTGAAAATATTTAGCGACGAATTAAAATACATAACCGGACACACAGCGGTTTAAATTCAGCTACTCAGGTTATACACGTTGGCTTTAAGAAGTAAGCAGGCGTTGAACACTGCCCGCTGGGTTTGACCTCGTCAGCCAAGGGCAGCTAACAGCTAATGGCTGCTAGCTAGGCGTCCTGTTATGTTAGCATGAGCCCAAAGTGGCTTCAGTGATAATAACAGCGGACTTACAACGGGCCCGATCTTTTCCTTGGCCGGTCTAGTGTAGACACTAGCCCGCTGAGAGACGGTGTGTCCCCGCAGGGCAGGGACAGCACGGCCAGCGAGGGTCCTCAGGAGCAGCGGCATGTTGCTGTGCGGTAGACAGATGAGCTGGTTATGGTGTGAACAGGAAATGGATGAGTGCAATGTCACTTCTCTTCTTCTCCTCACCGGAGATCAGCAGCCAGTCGCACAGTGCCACCTACTGGGTGTTGCTGCACATTGAAAGTAAATTTACTCAAGAACAGTAACATTTTGATGTACTCCATGTTAGTATGCATTTTACGTTACTTTTACGTTTTACTCCACTACATTTTAGAGGGAA